TGGGCATGTGTTTACAGTATGCATGTTATATAATATATAATATATGACATGCATACTGTAAACACATGCCCAATATATAGCATATTATGCTACAATACCCACCTATAGCTCTCCCCCACATACGATGTGCATACTCCATGAGCCAGATGAACTTGAACTCTTCTACCGTCATGTCCGAATTCTTGCTATGGAATTGATTTAAAAGAATGTTAGAAACCTGCAACCATGTCAATAAAAGCCTAACATGGCTATCACATCTCTGCTTAATCGAATAATTAACACGTTGTGTCTTTTTAAGTATATAACCTTACTGCCAAATTCATATTAGGTTATCAAATTTTATAGCCTGGTTACTAATAAACAGCCCAATTGAAAATCATCTGCATTTGCTGCTGTTTTTGATATTTCCAAAAGGCAACGGCCAAAGATGTAACAGAGGTTTCTGTGTCCTTCATGTGCATGCTGGGCCATACGCATGCTTGGCTCAATACTAGTGTTAGAATGTACAGGACACCCAATCTTAGCTATACGTACTAGTATTGTTACATAATCACAGTGGTACTTATAGGAGTATTGCCAGGTAAAACTTGGACAGAGTTTTTATCTCAGTTGTTGATAAACTAAATATATTCAAGTCTAGTTTGCAAGGTAACCAGCAGTGAGATTGGACAAACTAATAATTTGGCAGTCAGGTTACATACTTACAACTGACCAAAGGTGTGAGTTATTCTATTAATAGTCAGCAGTGCGAATTAGATAGCCATATTATTCTTTTACTGCAGCTTTAGTGTGAATCTTACAAGTTTTTACAGTATATATAGTAAAAATAAGTATGCACTATGCAATGTGACTATACATCTGCATTTTAACTGCTCTTTAATTAGAATTTTTTTTGGTCTCTTCAAAGGTCACAATGAATAGTTTTCACATACTATTTGTATTCTGGGAATTCTTGGTATACGCTGAACTCGTCTTCCCAGGCCTTTTGTGAAAGTGGAGGTACCATGCCTTTGATTAGGTCCCATTTTGTTATGGAAAGGCCAGATTCCGTCAACCTAAAAATGAAAACAGTTTACAATAGTTTTATCTTTTATATTACATATATATCGCCGAGTGTGCCGTGAACCTGACATTCATGGAAAGTAATCTAATTCATCACTACAGAATATAATTACAGTCCATTCTACGCCACGGGTGTTTTCGAAATTTAACGTTTCATGAACCATTAATTATATCAAATGTATCACCTATCAGTTAATCAGGTTTTACTTTTCACCCTACCTAGTAATTCCACCGAGCGATACCATACAGCCAACCATTCCTGTGCAGCCAAGAAACCAATATCCAACAATACGTTGAGAGCGTTGAGAAACCTCCACGGCTCCTTTCTCTGCTGCCACTCCCGCTGCAACGGCCATCCTTCGCAGTGTCGTCGTTCGAACATTCTGTTCCCCATAAAATCATATACTTATATTATTATATAAAATATAAAATAAGATTAAGATAAGATTTGGCAGACATGCAACCGCATGAATCTTAAAAATAAGCACGGGCTGCGTTATTGTTAATATCTTTAATTTTGAACCTCAGACTGCGGACTCATTTTGCTGCAGACTCCCTCTTTTTGAGGGTAGGGCATCCGTTGGACTCCCGTGTTCAAAAGTTAATTTCTATCCCTAAACTAACAGTAACATCTACCCGTAGTCACACATATGACACTTAGAGGAGATCAATCTTCAGCAACTGCTGTAGCTTCAGATATTTGACCTATAACTAGCTGCTACACTTAGCAGCTATCCCTAATTATCAGAGTAGGAATAGCTACAGCGCAAATTAAGTAAGATAGATGCACATGTATCTGCTGCTGGCTAATGACAACAGATTCAAAGGCATGCATACATGTATGCAACGTACAGCACAGTTGTAAGTGTAGTGTCTGTAAAGATTATACAGTACAGGATACATGTCCCTGCAGATAATCAATAGTGCGAGAGATGAATTAGGATGGGAATAGATCTATAATGTACTTTATAATGTACCTGGCAGGTATTCCCTAGTAGTCTGGTTTTTGCCTTGAAATAGCAGAGTGGTGATCTAAAATCTTTCTGTGGCGATTGAAAGCCAGAAACCTGCAAAAACAGTGAGAGCAATTTCATGAAATATTCCCACACAGTGATCAGCATTACCGGGTGTTGAATGTAGCATTCCTGAAAGGTACTGGGTGGATACAGGCACCAGAAACGATAGACTGGTCCATCTTACACTGTACATAACGCAGTGTTAGCATTTCATATAATATGTATTTCAAGTACAAAGATATATAGAGACAATATTGGTGTCTTCATATACGTTTTCATCCTTATATGGTACTACCATTTACATACTTAGACATAACACAGGGGAAATACACCGTGTAGTGGGAAATGTACACAGGAATCCACAATCCCTAGACAAGTGCAATGCTTTATGCCAAGTATAATTTTTTAACCTGTGCCTCAATGCAAAATCGAGGGTACAGTCAATAAGTTATGTGCACATCACATCACTCTTCTTTTTGACCTTGGTTCTTGGGCCCTTGAGCTATGTATCTCTAGCACTATAGCTGTCCTAGGCTTTGACACATGCCAACAGTCGTGTGACATACTCATGTCAAAGAAAAAAAAAAGAAATAAACAAAGAAAAGTTATTAAAACAAAATGTGTTTGTTGGTTATTCAACTGACTGTCTTGACTTTCTAAAGTGGTCGATCCCCACTTTATATCTGGACAGTACGGGAACCATGAAAATGTCCCATTTAAATTGTGAACGCATTTCCAGTTGCGTCTTCATGCCTACTTGTGCCTTACACAATCATCTGTATACAACACAGGGGTATATAACAGGGGTTTTATATTTAAGCTTTATAGCTTCCTAACCCCTAGCCAGTTGTCTTGAGGGGACAAGTGGCATCCAGGTAAATACAGGTAACAAACACTGTATACACTGTATCAGGGGTTAACCATGACAAGTCAAATGTTAAAGGGAGACTTTACTCTAGGTTCTAGGGTTATTTTCAGCTAATTTAGGTTATAATTATGCTACATAAAAAGTTTCATGAATATTAACCTAATATATATATATATATATTATATAATATATATATGGTGTTTTGTTAATCACCATTAGAAATATTATTAAAAAATGTTTTAAAACTAACGACTACAGTTTGATTACACCGACGGTGGCGCCACTCAAAGCGCACGATCTGATAAGTTGCGCAAAACCACTTTCCAGCCAAGGGCTACAGACCGAGGATGTTTCTTATTTATTAATTTAAAAGCAAAAGGATTGTAATATCTTATAAACGACATATAGTTTCAGTTATATTATGGATAAATTTGTCCTAAAATGAACATCGTTCGGTTAAATAGCATTTAGGTATGAATATAATTGCACCTTTGTGATTAGCCCTCGGTCTATAACGTGCAAAATAAATTGGCAAATACGCAACTTTTTCAGGGTGGCAGCACGGTCGCGGATGTCATGGCGCCGTTCAAATTTCGTAGCGTTGATGTGTAATTAATTATAACAATTAAATTAGGGTTAGGGTTAGGGTTATGTGGCAGATTACAGGGCTATGTTCAGAACCTGTTGAAATAGAGAATTGGAAGTTTCGAATCGTTTTATAAAGTAGAAGGAAGTTTGTTCTGCAAAAATATCCTGAAGCGTGTTCAACAGCGCGAACGCTCGCGTGCACTCGCCTTCTGAATGACACTGCGCGGTCGAGCGTTCGCGAGCGCGCGCGATCAGGCTCCCAAGGCTGTTCGCGTAGCGCGCGAGTTGTTTTCAAGATGGCGACTGGCAATCCGGCGAATGCGAATCTAACACTTCTGACTTTGGGAAATGTCGATGGGTCAAAGGAGATTATTTTCTATATTCTCGCTGCGATGAAGGAAATGGCATTCTAATTTTGTCTGCTAATTCGTTTAACAGTACTTGTCAAAGACGCGATCAAAATCTGAGCTGAGGAAGCCGCCATCTTGGATAAAGCGAGCGCTCGGTGTCGTTCAAGTGGCGCTGCGTTCGTGCTGCGAGCGTTCGCGCTGTTGAACACGCCTCTGATTGACTGAGCCCGAGGTTCTGCCCCACACTCCACAGGCACTTGGAACGTCTCAATAAAAAAAAAATAATGTAAATACGAAATGTATTTACTACCAAAGTCTTA